TACTCCTGAGGTCTGGCACATACACAGCAGGTCTGCCATGCCTGATGGCCTCAGTATCTATGCACTTATCTGAAATGCTAGGGGGAACCCAGCCATGAGACCGCATGCCAGAAAAGCATTCTACCTCTGAGCTGCACCCCAACCCCAGTGGTCAGGCTGCCACAGACAGGCAGGCCAGGCTGTACCCATTGTATAGATGATGAAACTAAGACCCAAGCAGAATTCTGGTTCCTGAGCAGATGGAGCTCAGTCTCGTTGAACCTAACTGACCTGAAGGAGTGTAATGGGAGCTGGGAAATCGCCCGAGGAAAAGCAACGGTGCCAGGACTGACATGGGCAGAGAGAGGAGCAGTTCAAATGTGTCAGGGAGGAGCGAGGCTTCACACCGAGGAGAGTGACAGCACCAACCTACCCTGTGTGCACACTGTGCACCTGACTATGCTGTTTCAACAGCTAATAATCCAAGAGCAAGAAACACACAGAGCGAGGATAGGCATGCAAGTCAGGGAGGGGAGAATCCTGTCCGCAGAAAGCTGTGTGTTAGTGGGATTGTGCCTGCAACTGCACCTAGACTTTGCTCTTAATAGGAACCATACACCCCTTTTGATTCTGATTTTGTTTTTGTTGAGATAGGGTCTTGCTATGTAGCCCAGGCTAGCCCCGAACTCACGACCCTCCTTGCCTTAGCCTCCCAGTGCTGAGATTACAGCTATATGCCACCAGTTCTGAAAAAAATACATCATTGGGGCTGAGAAGATGGCTCAGTGGGTAAAGCACTTGCTGCACAAGAATGAGGACTAGAGTTTGGGTCCCCAGAACCCACATAAATGTCTGGTGGGTGTGGACGCTGACCTGTAGTTCCAGCACTTAGAAGGTGAATATGGGATCCCCAGATCAGGCTGGCTAGCCAGTCTAGTGGAACTGGCAAGCTCTGGGTTCAGAGAGAGACCCTGCCTCAATATATATGGTGGCGCGCGATTGAAGAAGACACTGTACATCAACCTCTGACCTTCACATGCATGTACATGCACATGAAAAAGAAGAAGAGAAAAGAAAGATATATCCTTGCAAACACATGAGAGCATCCAGATAAAAATGCACCATAAGATCCTAAAAAGACCTCAATAGACTCATCACAGCTGACAGAAGCCACCAACATTCACAGGACAGTCATAAAGGGCAGCAACAGATGGACAACAGGAAAGTCTGTGTCCATGACTTCACAAGTGTACATGAAGGGCAGCAACAGATGGACAACAGGAAAGTCTGCGTCCATGACTTCACAAGTGTACATGAAGGGCAGCAACAGATGGACAACAGGAAAGTCTGTGTCCATGACTTCACAAGTGTACATGATTTCCAAAGAACTCTCAAGGTGGAGCTCAGGAGGGAAATTAGCAACTCTCCCTGAAGTGATGGGCAGACAGGGAGACAAAACCTGAAGCCCGAGCAGCAAAGATTATAGCTGTTAGCCCCAAAGAACATTGGAAAACAACTGTAGCCTCAACCGAGAAATCTCAGGATGGAAGGAACGCTGGAGACAGAAGAAGGCTTCCTTGAATGAGGCACTATTGGCTCTCACAAAGTATGATCACAGGTAGCATGAACAGAGGTCTATACTCAAGATGCAAGAAGATGATATTTATTCTCCCCTTCTCTGATTGGATGTGTCAGACTGAACTCCTCAAAAGTCACCTAAGGGAGAGGGAACAGCTAAAATAATTACATCTGCACACTCAGAACCAGAGAAACCCTGGGTTGGAGTGATGGTGAGTACCTCCAAGGAGAAGAACCCAGGCCAGGAATCCAGGCTTCAGGAAAGCTGACCTCAGGGGTCATCCCCTATGAACACTGCAGCAGGACCTCACTGTCCCATGAGCCGATTCTCCCACAGGCACCAGCAGGAGGCAGGCGGTTGGTGCCCAGCCCACGGCCCCATGCTCTCCTCCCCAAAAAGTTTTACTTCCTCTTTTGAAAATGCAGAACTTGCCCTACCCCCCAGCCCCCAGGAAACCTCAGGCCACCAGGGTTCTCCAAGATGGTTCTGGAGATGGATGATGCTCCTTGGGTTCCAACCAAGACATATAGCTCTTCCAAACTCCCCTCCCTCTGGCTGGGAGCTTGGATGGGGATTAAATGCAAAGGCTTGTTTGAGGGTTGGAACTTGCTGGTCATCATCACTGGCTCACATAAACTTCAGTTTCCCCCTCAGGGATGGGAGGCAGCCCTCGCATGTACGTGGCTCCTCATATTCCTGTTCCCCCTGCCTCCACTACCCTCTACTTCAGACCCTCCTCATTCTCTGGGACCCTGGGGAAGGGGCTTATCCAACAATAATCTAGAAAATGACTAGATTGTGGCTGGTGATATTCATAAGATTGCTTCACAGCCACATCAAAAGCTGATCTCAGTGGGGGCCCTCAGCTTGTGTACAGTTTTCATTGTTTAAAACCTAATGGTGAATATGGAAGGCTTGCTGTGTGACCTTAGATAAGTGACAGAACTTCTCTGTTTTTGTTACTTCATCCATAAATCTTTCAGTCCCTGCCTCCCAGGGCTTAAAGCAGCTGAATGAGATAGTGCAGGGTCTGGTTCTTTCCACTTCCTCTGGCATCTATTCGTGCCCCTCCCTCTTAATCCCATCTAATCCCACCAGCTTCCTCGCTGTGGGTCAAACACTGGGCCTGTTCCCACTGCAGGGCCTTTGCACTGGCTTTTCCCTCTGCCTGCTCAGCCTTTGCTGGACATCCACGTCTTGTTACTTTGGGTTTCAACTTCAAAGCTACTGTCTTAGGGTCACCTTCCTGGCCAGGCTGTCAGCTCCCCAGGGGCCCTCAGGGCTGTGTCTCCAGATCCTGGCCCAGTGGTTGAAGGGGAGTAAGGACTGGTGCTGATACCTAACACACACATGCTGTGACCATTTTGTAACTTTCTGGGGCTGGGGGTTCTGAGACCCAGAGTGTCCCATCTTTCTACCAACTGAAAAACTTCCTCCCTTCCTCCCTTCCCCATGCCTGCCACATAAGTCCTCAGCTGGGGCCCCTACCCGAGGCCTGGTTGTCTCCACAGCCCGGGTCTGGAGCCCACAGGCCCCAGCACCAGCATGAGTCAATGGGGCCACGCCTGGGACTGAGTGACACCAGCGCATCCTGGGAAAGCACAAGCTACAGGTAGACCACAGGCTGCAAGAAGTTTAGTGTCCCCTGTGCCACGAGGCTCCCACTGACCTCTGCTCCTCCCGCATCCCTGCTGGACCCCAGCCTGGCTCTGTCCCTCACTGGTGGTGCGTGTGAAACAACGATCTGGTGGTGCTCTTAAGACACATGGTATTAGTATGAAATGCCCTGGGGCAGCCCACAGAGCTGTAGCAACCTCGGCTACTCTTCAGAACTTTGGAACAGAACTGTGAATCTGGGTGTGAGCTCCTTGAAGGGAGTCTGAACTGCTCCATCTCGGGGTAGCACAGCACCTGGCACATCTGGGCCCTCAGAGTGAGGAAGGCAGGGTGGCCTGGAGAAGTGATGCACAAACTAAGTGGAGCCTTGCCCTCTTGTCCCCCACACCTGACAAAAGCAGAGAGGTCAGCTGCTCCCCTGGAGATCACACAGGTAGGCAGCAAGCTCCCATCTGAAGCTGGGCCCCTATCTTGAGTCTGTGTGTGTTTCTTTCTGCCTCAAGCTCTGAGAGCCAGGACAATGGGCTCCAAGACACCCAGTCAAGCCATGGGGACATGGCCAGTAAAATGCTGGATGTCTTGTGGAACCCAAGCCAGATGAATCTGTACCCCAACTGGGCAAGCCTTGGGCAGCTCTTCTAGCCCAGCAGAGGAAACCAAGCCAGATACAGCTGGGCTCAACCCTGAGGAATTCTCAGGGTGACTGTACTGTCAGTCAGACTGTCCCATCAGTCACAAGTGAAGTGCGGAGTGCAGAAACTAGACAGAAAAGGAGACTCCAGCCCCTCTGTCACTCTCCAGTGTGGGATCCCTAGCAAGGCCACTACACACATCCGTGGGGGTAGGTGTCCTCACTTGCCAAATGGGTAGACCAAGTCCCATCCTTGGGGTCAACAATAAAGATGCGTTGATTTAACGAACTGCAGAGCTTTCTGCAGGCCAGGTGCAATTTTGAATGTGGCATAAAGAACTCATATCTGTCCCTGTGATGCTAGAGTATTCGAAGAATTTCACAGTTGGAGACTGAGCTTAGAGCTCGGCAGCAGGGCATGGCAAGCAAAGCAAGCCTTTGACCTGGGGAACCTGGCTCAGCAGTCCTTGCTCTTAACTTCCAAGGCTCACTTCTTCACAGGGACAGTGGCTTGGACCTCTTGTGTGACTGGGATAGTGATAAGCCTCTTGCCACACATGATACCATTGCTCAGCAGTTGTGCAAGTGTGTACACGCACCATGGCTCGGTCCTGGACAGGTCCCCAAAGGCAGCAAGGTAGGAGGTGGCAACCTCCACCCCTCCTGGAGTAAGGCATGGGGGAGGGCAGAAATCCTCCTCCTGTCCCTAAGTCTGCTGCAGGGGTAGCCTCCCCAGCTGCCTGGACTTCTGCAGCCTGTGTGGGCACTGTGTAAGGCCTGTCCAGCCCTGATGCTGCAGACCCTAAGGTGATCACAGCCCTAAGGAGCCCAGAACCTGGGTGTAATAATTGGGACAACTCACCCTTACCCCCATCTCGCTCTCCAGATTCAGAAGCTGGAAATCTACAATATGACTCTCACGATCCTCACACTCACCGTGCTCAGCATCCTCTGCCTTTCTGTGTGTCTGGTTCTTCTCTGTTAACTCCTGCTTCCCACCTCCGAGCCTTTGCCCACGCTGTGCCCATGACTCAGAATACCTGCCAAAGTGCTCTCCACCACCTCAAGGCTAGCTCAAGGGTTCCCCTGCCCTCCCTCCAGCCTGTTGTGATCCTCCCTCAGTCAAACAGTAGAGCCCAGAAGCCTAGCAGAACTTAGGATGAGCTGGAGACTTAACCAATGTTCACATCTCACCTCTGCCTCAGTGTCCTCCTGCAGTTATGGGGAGCCCAGCTGATTCCCAAGAGGTAGAATTCCCACGGCGGTAGAATCTCACTACTCTCTCCGGCCAGACATACCCCAAGCCTCAGTTTCCACATCTGACTTCAGTAAATCCCAGGTTCCTAAAAGACCACCCAAAGGGGGCAGTCACAGTGGACCACACCTCACAGAGGGCTTGAGGAAGGGCCAGGGACCAGGATTCAGCAGAGTGAGTGCTGGCTTGGGGACACGCTTGCTGCCCAGACTGGTTACAAGGTCCAGAGTTTGTCAAAATAAATACTTGGATTCTTGGGTTACTGAACCGGAATCAGGGAGGAACCTGGGAGTCTCGGTTTCAGGAAAATCCCCAAAGAATCCGGTTCGCTGCCTGGGCAGTCTCACCAGGGCGGCGGGGCTCACCCTCCCCAGTGACCCACCCATACGCCCCCCGCACAAGCCTTGCAGGCCACCGGTGGAGGGGGGGCACCTGTGGACCCGGGACACCGGCAGTGGCGGGATTAGGGGGTGAGCCCGGCACTCATGTAGGGAGAGCCTGGGTACCGGCCGGGTGGGGTTGAGCCCAGTAGCCGGGTTGGGGGCGAGCCTGGGCACCGGCCCGGTGGGGGTAAACCCAGTATCCGGGTCGGGGGCGAGCCTGGGCACCGGCCCGGTGGGGGTGGCCTTGGCCAGGAGACTTCTCGCGCGGTGCCTCGCGCGCGTCCACAGGGCGATCCCCGCCCGCTTCTCGTTCTCGAGTCTCTGGCCACCGCCGGACCCCGGGGACGTGCCCAGCAGGGTGTCCCCACAGTCTGCCCAGTCCCCTCCCCGGCTCCTACCTGCGGCTCCAGCTCCACGCGCCGCACAGCCAGCGGGAAGGGACTGGGTGCCAGCCGCGCCGCGCGGTGCTTTCCTGGGCGCCGGAGCTCGCCCGCTTCCGCTCATTTACATGCCCGCCCCGCCCCGCCCCGCCCCGAGCGCGCCCACTCGCACGCCCCGCCCCGGCGCCAGCTCATTTGCATGCCCCTCCCCGTTCAACCCCCACCTTCGCTCGTTTGTACGCCCCTCCCCCGCGCCAGGCATTTGCATGCCCCGCCCCGCGTGTCCACAGTCGGCCAAGCGCAGGGCAATCCGTCAGGCAGCGCCCCAGGCCACCCGAAGAGCCTCATCTTCCACCGGGAAGATCCCGACACGTCGCGCGCGGCCTCCCACGCAGCGCCGAGGTTGTCGGAAGCGCCTCGGAGGTCTGCGGCGTGGGGACCGCCTCCCAGAGCCCCCCTGCGGTCCCGGAGCCCTCCCCAGCCTCCCCTCTTCAGCACAGGGGCTCTGGCTTTGTTCCTTGCCCAGTAGCCCGACTTGTGGTCACAGCTGTTTGCTCATTCTTCTAGTGTTTACCCAGCGCCTGTGCCAGAGAAATTAGAAGGCCACCTGTCAGGTTCAGGCATTCGGCCCTCCACTACCTTAAGAAGTCATACAAGATCACCCATTTTACAGATGGAGAAACTGAGGCACGGAGCTGTTAAGAAACTTGGACCGTAAATCTGGGGACCTGAGTTCGATGCCCAGTATCCATGTATGTATGGCATGAAAAAACAGGCTCCACAAAGTTATCCTCTGACCCAGACATGAGCTGTAGCATGTCTGCCCTTTACCCCCTGAGCCATCTCACTGGCCTGCCATCCTGCGTTCTGAAACAGGGTCTCTATGCAGCCCTGGTCAGTCCTGGGACTCACCCTGTAGTGTGAGCTAACCTTGAGCTCACAGCAGTATTCCTGTCTCAGCCTCCCAAGTGCTGGGATTACAGGCACAAACCACCTACATTTGGCTATTTTCTGAGTCTTTAAGCCAGCCTTTGTTCTTTCCTGGTGACTGAGCAGAGTGGGCCACCCTCCCTGCGCTCAGCATCCCCACCTGGGGAGTGGGGACAATACTAGACACACCTAACAGGTGAAGCAGGAATGGATTGGGGTGTGACAGTGCTTGGAACCTGGTCCTTGGGGATTAGGTGCTCAGAAAAATGCTCCTTAGAACACGCTGATGAAGCAGCCAAGCTAGGGCCTGCTTGCCTGATTGTGAAATCACAGTGCTGACAGACTGGAAGGCCAGCACACATGCAGTCAGGGGAGGCATTTGGAAACGTCCAGGGCGTAGTGATGGCAATTCTTTGCACCCCTCCAGCACCTTTCTGTGGGTTTGAGCTGATGTCAAAACACAGAGCTAAGGAAATGGGCCAAAAGAGACAGACCATAGCAGGAGACATGGCTCTCCACCACAGTCCCAGACTTCATGAATGACTGTTTTGTCTGGCTGGGAGTGGGTTCTGAGCCCCAGATAATACAGACCAGTCTCCCAGTCTAGGGGCTTGCCTCATTACAAACTCAGATCCTGTTACAGTACAGCAAATGCAATTGATTTTGATTCTCTCAGTTTTTAACAATTAATAGACTTTATTTTGGGGGACAGTGGAGCTTGATAGAATAATTGAGCCCAGGGCTGGGGAGATAGCGCGGTTTGATCCCTCTCAGTAGGTCTGAGTTTGATCCCAGCATCCATGTAAAAAGCTGATGTGAGACTAGAGAGACAATCCAGTGGGTCAGAGCACTGGTTATGCGAACATGAGGACCTGAGTTTGCATCCCGGTGCGTGTGTAAAAAATCTGTGCGTGGCTTCCTGCATCTGTAACCCACACTGTGGGGGACAGAGACAGGAGAATTGCTGGGCTTGCTGTTTACCAACCTAGTTGAGGTTCAGTGAGAGACTTTATCTCAAGAGAATATGGTGGAGAGTGATAGTGTGTTCTCTAGTCTCTGCACACACACATGCACATATACCATACATACATCACATTAACACATATAGCCATATACACACAAGCACAGTGTCATGTGTTTGTAATCCCAAATTAGTGAGGCAGAAACAGACAGATCCTGGGGGATTGCTGGCCAGCCAGCCCAGCCTGATCCTCAAGCCCCAGGTCCCAATAAGATACCTTATCTCCCAAAACAAAGGTATGGGGTATGGCTCAATTTGTAGAGTACCTAACATGTATGAGACCTGGTACTTCATAAACTCTGTGTGCTGACACACGTAATCCAGCACTTTGGAGATAGAGGCAGGAGGATTAGAAATTCAAGGTCATTCTAGTAAGTTTGAAGTCAGCCTGGGCTACATGAGTTCCAGTCTCAAAAGCACACACAAACAAGGAACAAGGTGAGTAACTTAATGGTAGAGTGATTGCACGCAGGAAGTCTCAGTTTCAGTATCCAGTTTCTTTCTCTCTCTCTCTCTCTCTCTCTCTCTCTCTCTCTCTCTCTCTCCCCTCTCCATGAAGCTCATGGAAAAACACCCAAGGTTGACTTCTAGCCTCCACACGGATGTGCACTCACATCAACAGGTGTCCACACATATTGTGCTGGTGAGTTTTTGTCAACTTGATGCAAACTAGAATTACCTGGGAAGAGGGAACCTCAACTGAGCAATCTCTTCCATTGGATTGGCCTGTAACTATGTCTGTGAGGTATTTTCTTAACTGCTAAATGATGTGGGGGGGCCAGCCACAGTGGACAGTACCATCCCTGGGCAGGTGGGCCTGGGCTGTATGAGCAAGGCAGCTAAGCAAGCCAGAGGGAGCAAATCACTCCACAGTCTCTGTTTCAGTTCCTGCCTGTAAGTTTCTATCTTGCATTCCTGCTCTGACTTCCCTCAGTGATGAATTGTGACCTGGGAGCTGTAAGATGAAACCTCCCCAAGCTGGTTTTGATCAGCAACAGAGAAGCAAACTAGGATGAACACATACACACACACACACACACACACACACACACACACACACACACACATGCACACAGAGAGAGAGAGAGAGAACACACTGTGATGGTTTGAATAAGGGTGTTCCCAAAAGGCTCATGTGCTGCAGCTTGGTCCCTAGCTGAACATGGTCATTGAGAGGTGACAGGATCTTGAGGCCTCTGATCTACTCCCTGAACTGTCCTGCTGGTGGGTTCATTGTCTGATGGAGCTATTGGGACTTGGTGGACACTAGGTGATGTAGGGTGGGAGAATAGATCTTGTCCTTGGCTCTTTCTTGCTGCTCTCTATGCTTCCTGGCTGCCTTGAGGCAAGCAGCTTTCCTCTACCACGATGATCTGACTCATTGAGCCTAGACATCAACAGTTCAGCTAGACAGGCCCCAAAGTCAACTATGGACAGAAACATCTGAAAATGTGAGCCAAAACAGACCTTTGCTTATTATGTCAGGGCCTTTGTCACAGTGACCAAATACAGGGTTCCCACATGCCTCTCCCCTGTGCAGTTTCACTGTTATTACCATTTGTGTAGAGTGGATCATTTGTTAAAATCAATAAACCCAAGACAGTACATTACTATCAATGTCCAGACTTGACACTAATGTTCACTCTCCTCTTGAATAGTTCTGTAGTTTCTTAAAGACATTTAAAAATATATTTTTTATTTTATGTGTATGAGTGTTATGCTTGTATGTATGTAAGTGCACCTGTGTTGTGTAATGCCCACAGATGTCAGAAGAGGGCGTTGGATCTACTGGAACTGGAGTTAGGATGGTTTTTAGCTGCCATGTGGGTGCTGGGAACCAAATCTGGGTCCTCTGTAAGAGCAGCCAGGGCTTTTAATTGCTGAACCATCTCTCTAGCCCAGTTTTTTTTTTTTTGTTTGTTTGTTATTGTTGTAATTTTTAAATTGAATTTTTGTGTATTTCATACAGAGTATCTTAATCATCTTTATACCCCCTTCCCCATTGGCACCCTCCCATAGCCCCCACCCCACTGGAATTCATGGAGTCTGTCATTTGTGTTAAGGTCTATCATGTCAAGTTAGTGTTCCTAGACATCCCTCGGTGCAAGTTCATCCACTGAGGTCTAGGCAGCCTATCTAGAGTCTCTCCGTTTACCCAGCAGTAATCAGCTGCTAATAATTCTTCGACTAAGATTGGGGCTTGTTGCCCATTCCCCCTGTTCTGTGCTGGGGTTTTGTCTGCTTGAGTTTGCATGGGTCCTGTGCATGTTGGCACCATTGCTATAGGTTCATATGAGCAAGGTCCCAGGAGCCTGTAGGAATCTATTTCCATATGGTCGTGCATCTCCTCCCTGGCTCTTACAATCTCTCTACCCCTCTTCTGCAATGGT